ACATTATGAGAATGTTTCCCATATGCATGGGCAAGGTATTTTATTATTTACTTGCTACTAACTATTACTTTTAAGTAAGTTTTCTGCCTTTTTACTAATTTTTAGCATTTAGGACTAAATGCTAGAGGGCAAGTGTAAGGATTTGATTTACTGGTTTGTATTTTATTATCACTACATTGCTGATTGTGTCAGATCATTACACAGTAGGACCCACAAGCATATATATTCTCATTATAGTTAGTTACACTTTCTCCTCATGTATCTACACATGTATACCCCTATAAAAGACAGTATCAACTACTGGGTAAAGGGGATTCTTTTCCCCTGACCCCTCACTCGAGTACTAGGTTATCCCAGTCAGTAGTTGAGTGAACTAAGGGCAATTAGAATTCTCTTGTGAGGAACAGTGAGTTTCCTTACATTTTAACAGTTACAGACAAGTTCTAAGTCAAAGCTAACTCTTCTAACTTTACAAATAGAGTAGTACTGTCCCAGTTCATTGACAGAAAGTAGTGTCTGATAGTGTTCCAATCAGAATCCCTCTCTGTAACAGAACAGAACTACTCTATCTATAATAAGGAACTCCTTGTAATTGTCTGTTCCCTAGAGGAGTAGTATTAATATCTCCTTAGTACTATACAGAAGTTTAAGATTTAGAGTAATCACCTTAATCTCTAGTACTTCCAGGCACCTTAGAAGCTCAACCACTACTAAGCCTACTAGATGTTAGAACTGTAGAACTATGACTTTGTACTAACCTACAAACCTGGAACACAAATGATAAAAGCTGATTTACTCTTAAGACAAGTAGGTTATAAAAGGAGGGAGAATAATAATGAAAATCTTGTTCTTCTAGACAATTCCTGTTTCACATCCAAGACAATTTGAGAGATCTGACTCAAATCCAAGGATGTTAACTTTATCACCTACATACAGTAAGCTCTGAAACACACACAGGACTAGGTTGTAGTAAAGTAGTTAGAGAAGTAGGCTAGAGATTAGGAGGAGGATAAGGATGGACAGGTTTACTAGAAAGGCTGACTGTATGTTCTAAAGGATCAGAAACTGTAGGAGGACATTGTTTGAGCTCATTACAATAATCTGACTATAAGACATTCAGGCTGACACAAAACACAGGAACTTATTACTCAGAACTACTAGTAGTCAGGAATGTAGAGGGAAATCCTAAAGTATGTGACTGGTTGTAATACATACTAACAAACTAAGGCCTACCAGACAAGGGTTCAGACTCTCTTATATTTGTATTAGATTCTGGATCACTCTTAGGAAGAAGTCTTGGTGGACCTGATTAGTAAGCTACCTGAGTCTTAGAGCTATAATACTATCTGTATAATTGTCAACTAATTCTCTAAGCAAGTCTACACAGTTCCAACCTAAACAGAACTCACTTCTAAAGGTATAACATACATTTATTAGAATCATGTCTTCCAGTTGTACAGACTCCCTCAGAAGCCCATTCATAATTACAGACTATAATTCAAGTTGAAATTCATGTGAGACTTGTATACACTTCTCAGAATTCAAGGGAACCCTTCTACTGTCTATCACTTACAGACTAACAGTCAAACTGAGTAAGTCAATCAGAAGATCAAGCTCTACCTCTAGATGTTCATTAATCATTAGTAATCAGATTGGTCTGAATGGTTAGCTCTAACAGAATTTGTGTACAATAACTAGTAACACTCTACAACAGGACAGTCCCTGTTCTTCCTCAATCATAGGAGACATTTGTACTAGGGGACAGTTCCAAACCAGAATACAAAGTAGAGTACATAGTAGATACTAAGCTAGTGTGTAGAAAGCTCAAGTTCCTTATCTACTAGAAGGAATACTCAGTTGAGGAATGTACTTAGAAACCTGCTAAGAACCTTGCCTATACTCTTAAGACAATCTAAGATTTCTATCAGCTTCATCCTAGTACTCTACACAAACTCAGCCTTACAGATTTCTAAGCCCTACTGTTCTGACCTATGTCTGAGCCACTAACCAAGCCCTATGTTCACTAATCAGGACAATTGGTTTTAGAGGGAGGGTAATGTTATGGTTCTCTACTCTCTTACCTTCAGTTCTAAGGGTTCTACACTCTTCTGTACCAGAACTCAGGACTTCTGTACCTTAGGAGCACTGTCTATAGACTATATGTGTGCTGACTCTTACTACTACCCTTCCTTACTTTATTATTCTATTCCTTTGACCACCCCTTCATTCTCTGTTCATTCTATAGTCTCTTACCCTTTGTCTATCCCTTCATTCTTTGTACCTTTATCTTTGACATTCCTTTCTTTTATTCTTTGTGGCTTATCATTCTTAGTAGCTCATACTCCCTGAGTACTCTTGTATAGTTTAGTATATATAGGCATACAAGATCAGACTAGTCCTGTAGTCTTGATCTTGTCTACTCTAGGTAGTCCTGTACTCTTAGACTCACTCTATATACTCTACTCTTGTCTTACTCTCTCTCTCTGCCTGTTTTACAAGTTCCAACTATGTTCTAGTACTTATGTTCTGTATTTCTGTTGTGTAGAATAGTTATAGCCTGAGTCCCCTTGCTGAGCCTTTGGGTCCCCTCTATACTGTCACTAACATTTTCTAGAGAAAAGTAAATTACTTTGTCTGTTACTAACTGTTTACTTATTTGTCTTTATATAGAGTTACTATTAAGACTCTACAAAACATTACTTTCTGTTTTAATAACAGTATTATACTATAGTAACAGGACTTGCTAGCAGGTGTACAGTTAATAAGCTGGAAATTGGCAGAATTATTACTTAGTATAAATTAATTTAAAACCTATAATATATAGTATTGTTCTAATATTTCTAGTATTTTATAAGACTGTAGATTATTAGAGAATATTAACCAGATTGAAAGGGATCCTATTCATACTAATAGAATTAATAGTATATATTAATTAACATGTAACTACAAAAAGTGTAATAAGGAAATTAAAAGAACAAAACTTAGGCCCTACTTGGTTGTACTGGTTACACAACTAGTGCCTGCCAAATTCACAACCACTAGTTATACAACCAGCAGTTGCAAACCATCAACCATCAGACATGCTCAGCTACACATCTGGTTTTGTAGTTGTGTAACACTGCTTGTCCCTTACTACAGTTGAAATTGTCTTATTGTATAATGTTGGGAGAGAGTAAAACCTAATACATTATACAAATTATGTATCATAACAATACATTTTGGCTGAGAACTTGACTTTTGTTCTGACCAGAAGTTATACATTATACAATACATGTATTATAATAATATGTAATAAGACAATTTTGACTGTACATCTGTTATACTATGTCCTCTACATTTCCTTGTTACTACTTCTCTCTTGTATTGTATTCCCACTTGTATTCTACTGGAAATTTAATAATCCAAGCTTTGAATGTTTAAACCAACTATAATAATATAATATATCTGTCATATATGCTTAATTATATGTGTATATATACACCTAAAGTCCTAACTTATGTTTCTATTTATTTATTTGTGTCTCAATTATATCTACACTGTATAGTACTTATGTTAGGACACATAATTATATACTAATTTGAAATAGTGCTCTACACTATAGTGTAATTTACAGATACACTTATAGTGTATACACTTACACACTGTATTGTAAGAGAAAATTTTAGCTGAAAATACAGGCATATATTTACACACATATACATATACCATAAGTAAAAAATTTCTGTATACACTGTATACAAGTATACAGTATTACTAAGCATATTCTCTAATTAAATACTAAGTTTGAGTTTCTAAACCTTATTTACTTTACTTATTTATATACCAAATCATTTTAATACTATATAACAACCTTGTTTAACTTAAAAAGTACTAGTATGAGTACTATGGTTAGTATGGTTACTACAGTACATCACATGAAGGTTTAGAGCTGTCATGTGATATTAACTCACAACACTCAACTGTCTTATTTCTGTGTGTAAACAGTACTACAATACATTTTCTTAGCTCAGTAATATCAAGCATTTGTTTTGAAAGATGATAGTGTACTTTTATGAGCTATTTTAATGTAAAGTATCTTGTTATATTTGGCACAGTGTATATGCCATATACACTGTATACAGAAGTAGTGTATTGTATATGGGTCCTGCTGACCCAGTTTACACCTGTAATTATATGTGTGTAAGCATATACACTACACACAGAGCACTAATTTGAAAGGATAAATGATGAAAGATGAAGGGAAAGTAATGAGTCTATACACTATACTACTTGTGACCAAAGTGACAAGGTTGGCACTGGTGGTTGACAGCTGCACCGGAAATTCCCGGCCATCAACCACCAACCTGCGGTTGCGCGACCAGTGCAACCGAGCATTGTACTCGATCGAAGGTTTGTGTAACTGCGGTTACTGTGGTAAGGAATTTCAACTGCGGATACAAAAAACTAAAGTCGTCTGCTACCACAACATCGACCAAATTGCTATTTCGTCATCAGCAGCCCCCTTTTACCACTCATGCAATCTTTCTTGTCCTGGGAAGTTTTGTGGTAATTGACTTAATACACTGTCCATGCAAGCAAAGAGCTCGTGAATGCAATCCTCATTCACTGTGACTCCCGCACAACATGTCATTGCAGCCTTCGGCGAGAGGAGAGTAATAAGAGCTTTCTTGGTAATTGGCTCCAAAATGCATGTCTGAACGATAGCGGGGAAATTTCTTGTGCAAAAGCAGTAGATGCAAGGGAAACAATTGAATTATTTAACTACTTATGTGTATATTCGTTTTTTAGCACCGAAATTAACGTCAATGCTTACTCTGTCTTCGTTTCTTGCAGCTTTCTTGGTCTGGTACTCTGCAGCTACAGAATTTTCTAACTAACACAAGACATTTTGGAGCATGGATCAAATATTTGCCATGGGAGAAGTTCCGTATCACCTGATCATTCATCGTGCACAAATCTGTGTCATTCCGTTCCTACCTTCCTAGCTATCAGTGCGCATCATGTCTACCGTTTTGAATACGACAGCAACACCCGGATACGGGTTTGCAGCATCTAATGGCGCTGATTCGCAGGACACGCAGCGATCGTTCCTATATCCACACCATTCTCTAGGAACAGCTCGCGAACTGATTGCAACGGCGCAAGCATTGGTGCACCCACGAGGCGTTGGGATATATGCAACCGATGAAACACCCGATGGAATTGAGGCTCGACTGGTAGCTGCTCACGGAGATGACGGTGCAGGGAAGACATGGTCTGAAGAAGAGAAGAAGGAACGTAGACGTCGATGGAGGGCTTGTCTCTATGAGACTCTACCGACAGGTAAGTCCATTTTTACCATATTTTCACCCTACTGAATCACTCCTACAGAGTATATATCAGGAGTGATTTTATACGACGAGACTCTTCTCGATTTCAAACTAGCATCTGTCCTATCGGCTCGAGGTATCATACCTGGTGTTCGTGCTGACACCGACTCCCATCCTCTTCCTATCTCACCATCCGAGCCGGCAACGCAAGGATTGGACAATCTTCTCCCGCGATTGCGTAACGCACATGCTCATGGGGCCAGGTTCTCCAAAGTGAGTGCAGTGAGATAATGATATGTATTGACGCACGTTGACATGCGTTCGGTAGTGGCGTGCACCTATTCTCTGCGATGCATCAACTCTCCCATCGCATGCCGCACTCGAGGCCCAGGCTGAATCACTCGCACGATTTGCTTCGATCAGTCAGCAGGCCAGTCTTGTCCCCATTATTGAACCCGACGTAGATTTTGCGGAAGATGCGAGCTTAGCACGTAGCGTCGAAGTGCATGCAAAGATAATCGCAATGATTTATGCTAGATGTGCTGCATATGGGGTCCTCATTGAAGGCTAGCTCTGTAGCTATGTCATAATTTGCGAGAGTATTCATTGTTCATGTCCAGGGACGCTAATCAAGCCGTCATTCCCCCAACCTGGTCTGAAACATCCTTCAAGAGCTAACACAACACCTGAGGAAATTGCAGAAGCAACAGCTGCAGTTCTTGCACGTGCAGTACCTGTTGGTGTCGCAGGTGTCGTATTTCTCTCTGGTACGCCATCTTCTCCTCTTTCGAGAGTTTGGCAGGAGCTAAATTTTATTATCCCTTCGAAATGTAGGCGGTCTTCCGGATGAAACAGCGGCTTTATACCTCCAGAAAGTCAATGTGCTCGTCGACAAGGCGAAAGCGAAAGCTGGGGTGGAGCCTTCTCCCTATGCACGTCTCCCACCGTTGTCATTCTCTTTCGGTCGCGGACTTCAGAGTGACGCAATGCAGCGCTGGGTCCGCAATGATGAAGATGGTGCTCGTCAAGCCTTCCGTGTTCGTGCAAAGGAATGCTGGAAGGCAGCTAGAGGTGGTAGAGATAATTGATACGAAGGAGTGAATGCAACTATAGATCCCATATCACTGGAGTTAAAGAAGAAGTGCTGCTTCTAGGGCTGTACCGACATTGTTTTGCAAGTCTTTACGCATAGCACAACTGAGGAATATACTTATCAGATGACAAACATTGTGTTATGTAAGTGATGATTCTGACAAATTTGGCTTTTTATTCTCACGACTACTGTCAAGTCTCTTCAATTTCTCGCTATTCTGCAATCATGACCTGCCACCGAGTACTCTGAGTCTAAGACTGTTTCTACTCTCAATCATCCTTGTACAAGCACGTAGAATATCGGTAGAGGCGTAAATTCAATGGAGATCTTCGTAAATCCTTGTCGGATCACACCTGCAGTTGTCGTATGCCACCGCATCTCATTGTCACCCTCCCAACAGCAATTCTGTGGTTCTGAAGTTAAGTAGTGTGTTCTAATGTATCTTAATCTTTTTGTGAAAGAGGACTGACCTCTCTATGTAACCTCCGTCTAGCAGTTTGCTTGCAAGGCACAGACGCGTTTGCGGCTTCTATGAGTTTTATTCCATGTGCTCCCTAAAAGCTCCTACACTTATAGCATACAGTCTGCCGACAGCGGTCCAGGAATAGCAATTGGAATCTCCAAGTTATCCCCATACTGACTTCCATTTCTACGATTTTCACAATTGTATTGCTCATTCTAATGTCGCCGTACCCCTTCAATGAGCTAGACTGCATCCCTTAATCTGTTTGCACTTGGACGTTCCGTTCTCTCTCGGGCTTGGGCCTGTCTCGTGCAGCATGGGTGGTGCTCTCATCTATCCTAATGTCTCAACTCGCGCCGTAATCTTCTCCAACAGTTCCGCGCGGCTTCGGACACCCAGATCTCGCACTCCGACGATTCGGGATTGATGTCCTTACGATAAGAACAGGGTCATAGACGTGCTTCTTCTGTACACATGCATTCTCTCGCACTTGTCCCTCAGTACGCAGTGCAATTTGAAATTCATGTTACACAAGAACTTCCAGAAGGTAGCTTGTGTACGAACGCTCAAGTGACTAGCCCACCTTGGCCTGTTGTTCTAACAATATTCTCTGCTTTCCGCGCTTAAAATCCGCCCAAATTGAAGGTACCCTTATTCTTAATATGCTCGCTGTCGCGATGGTCGTGTGTCGGCCCCCACGGAGGTCGTGGTCTTACCACAGTATTCGTCTACGCCTCTATCTGGAATCTGTTGGCAACCTCACTAAATCAATGCTCACAGAGTCATTTCTAACTTGAAGTCTGTGTCAGGGAGCCTCAACAGCGGACCAGGTTGAGATGCACCCCGAAAGACTCTGGTCTACAATATCTTAGCCGTTCATTACTACAAGGAAAAAAGATCGTTCGGGGAACGACGGAAGAATTTTCTTCATCCACCGCCGCAATTCTCGCACACTGCAATCCAAGAAGTGTATAAGCTCGAGCCTTCTGGCTTATGTGTCACAGTTTGTGTTAATCAGTTTAGGGTCACGTTTATATCAATGCTAGATCTAGGGGACGAATCTGATCACATTGATTCCAGTGATTATACCACCATGAATTTCTTGAGTCCTTTTTTTATCTTGTTGACTTCGTTAACTTAAAGAATTATTAGAGATAATAACCAGTTGCAGCTGGCAGATATTGACGTTGATGGACATGTAGCAGACGAAGCTAGCAGTAGACAGTGGCTCGGCGAATACTGATATTCTATACTCATTACACACTTTGATAGAAGGGCATTCATCATCATGAGACGCGAGCAAAATGCAAAGAGTATCGTAAAACGCGCCGCGGAGCTCTATATTCAGTCGGCGACCTGCGTGCTACATGCACGTGTCGTCCTTGCGTTGACATCGAGCCCAGGGGAACGGCGATACAGCATAATGATGTTACTTGGATGGTGTTTATTTTCTAACCTGTGAGCCTGAATTCCTTAGCCGATTAATTACCTTCCATAACACTTCTGTCTGATTTAGTCTGAGGTGATTGCACAGCGGTACTGCAACGTGTATTCGGCACGCCCCATGCAAGATAACGTTACAACTTGTCGCCAACTACATATCAGAAGCAGCTGGTAGTGAGTAAGCCACATTCGAGAATAATATATAGGTCGTCCCCACTATTCCCGATGTGAATGGCTTACGGCTTGCTCACAGCTTCTGCAGAGCGCGCATCGTCATGAGGGTAAAGCACAGTGTGGTACGACGGGAGAAGGTATGCGCAGTACACCACGGGAGAAGGTGAGACTTCGAACAGAGTCAATTTTTTATCCATTGTCGGATGATGACCCCCTACAATCTTTCAGGCTTCCATGTATACTTGGCTGTTGATTTCTGTGTGCTTCTCTCATTACTATCATTGCAATCATGTCGCAATGACACGCGTCAACATGGCAGGCACTGGATTTTTTTTGGCACAGTCCAATTTGCATGTACCTTCTCCAACTGAGACGCTGAAGGTGCACCGAATTATCGGTGCATATCATTCGGGACCCAGGTTCTTACAGTTATCGTTAGTGTCCTAATTGCTCGGTTTCGAGTCATGGCGCTCAAACACAACTGTTCTCGCCGAGCAACGCGTATTTGTGGATTCTGTTTGAGAGTAGATCCAACAAATTAAACTAGTGTGATCTGCATATTCGACACAGCCACTAACGCCCTGGAATTGATTTGCCTCACCGAAAACGCGTGGTACAATATTCGTACGCTCCTCTTTTCTCGGAGCTATTGCTCCTTTTCGTAGGTGCATCGCCTAAACCCGAGTGTTTCGAATATTCTCTATTCTTGTAATCGTGTGATACGTTTTGGTGCTCAAAGCCCCTGCCGCGCTGGCATTGTGTCGCCTCGCTCGAGCCTCGTGTATCACGCAACCGCAGCTCTTCGGCAAGAATGCTTTATGCGATTGAGTGGAGAGCCTTCAGATGAGGAGTGCGTAACTTCGGACGAAGGCGAATTGCTGGAATTATGGAAAGTGCACATAGACCTTCATGGACCAACAGGATTAACGCTTCTCGAACAGGGCCAACAGCCAGGAGACTAACCAGTCTAACAAGTGATTCCGAGGTTCGTAGTCTATACCGTTCCTGTCCCTCGAAGAGTTTGTGCGCTGACTCTGCTGAGGCACGGCAGGGATATCGCTACGGCGACCAGAAGATCACGGGAGAAGCTTGTCATGCTGTCATGCTGTCGCAACTAGTGCTCATTCAACCAAATTCGTGGAAGTCAACAGTTTCTCATTCGAGGACAAGGAGATCAGTCCGATGTAAGCAGTTGCAATGCTACCTTCAGCGCCAATTGCCAGGTGAGTAGATTCCGCGCTCCACTGCTCGCGAAGAACAGCTCAGATTAGTGATGAATTGCCGAAGAATTAGGAGGTGGCAGCTAGGTTGGATGCGACTTCCGCTTCAAGCTGGAGAAGCTGGGGAAGTTGCATTAGTGCAGTGCATGATGCATACCTAGGGTTAAATTAGTCCGCTCTCACTCCGTTGGATGACTGATAACGGTGCGCAAGATCGCGCCAGGGCTTACCACATTCCTTGTAAAGATGCGACTTTGCGGAGAGTGTAATGTTTGCATTGCATTTGCCATTTACAAAGCAAAGTTTGTCTATAAGGCTAAGACAAAAGTGGATCATATGCTCTCAAAGCTTACCTTGTCAAAGCTTACCCTTGTATCCTCTTCATCCAACTTCATTCATTCAAGTAGAAGCTGAAGACGGGGGAGGCAATGCGACTGGCAACAAGGGAGGGCTACAATGAATGGTAATGTGTATGGCAAGAAAGGGAAACTCAAAAGATCCTCGGCGTGCTCGGCTTATTGATTGTCTCTATACTTGTCATACACGCCTTCGTGCCGTGTCGATGATCAGAATGAGCGTTGTCTGGCTGGGGGGAGATTGTATTGAATTGGAAACGGGACAGAAATTAAATATATGGGTTTCAAATGCATATGATTTCCAGAATCACATTGTTCTAAAACAGATTCACACACAAACAGTCGCTTATACAATGTATTGGCCCTAAGAACAACTAGTAATACGAGCCTAACTATTTGTTCACAATACACTTCCGTCGATATGCATAGGTGAGAAGAAAGGGTGTTCCCGGAGGTACCCTTAAGTCAAGAAATTACGTTCAGTGTGGACTTCCAAAAATGATATACAGGATAATAGGTCTAGCTTCTCGTATATTTGTTCCGCAGTGAGCCTGGACTTTTTGAGGGTCTCTAGCGGACTCTCGGAGGATACCGACTGTTTTCAGGAGTGGCGCGTTACGCGAGAGGTTCGAGGGAAAGTGAACGCGTTCCATGGGCGCATGGGGGAACATCTTGCTCGGATTGCTTGATGCTTCACACATAACCGATTCCGGGTAGAAACAATGCAGGTTCGAGATGGAGGAAGAAGATCTCATTTTGAGTTTCCCAAAAGCAATATGCGGGACCATGTGGTTTGATGATGTGTTCCGTTCCATTCTTGAGTGTGCGTGCGCATGCATGAAGCCCGGGATAAGTAGATGGGTAGATGGATAGATATCAGAGAGATCATTTTGAACAGATTTGAGGAAGACTCCGCAGGAATATGCGACGGATTCGAAACGGTCTTCGTCCGCAGCGCCGGAGACGCGAAATGCGAAAACGTGTTAGAGGCGATGCTTGGAGCGACGGCGGCGAAGGCCTCGTTGGACCAACGCCCTAAACTGAATTGAGAGATAAATCCGTCGTGGTAATTCAGATCGGGGGACTTGCGACGTTGCAGCAAAAGAACAACAAACAAAGGGACATAAAACCGACTTACAGGCGACGGTTGGGAGAGTCGTCGCAAGTCGAACTTGCATTTTGGTCTGAGCACGCACTGCTCTCAATTTTTTTTTCTATTGCACACACTCTTCGCCTCACTGTCGAACTTTTGTCGGCAAGGAAAGGATGGCAACGTCGGCAGGCGGATTAGGAAGTTTCGACGAGCGTAGATCGGGTTCCCACGCATGCTCTCCCATTTCTCCGCTCCTTGAGACACAATGTCCCGCCGAACATCTCTCTCTTCATCCCTCATCTCTTGCACTTCTGCCACCAGTCTACACCCATCTCCCAGCACAGGAACACCCAGAGGACCTAAACGTGGCGCGTAACTACTGGCAGTCATCTCACCGAAGAGCTTACAGCCAAGACGGGCACGAGCCGCTCGCACGACATAATTACCAATTTGGTCAGGCCTCCCCGGAGACTGATACTGCTCAGGACCTCGAAAGCTCAGCCAGGAATTACCACAATCTGGAGTACGCGACTGCGCCAGGGGGAAGCGCTGCTGCCTTCTCCTTCGACTCCAAACGGGAAGATACTAGGCCGTTTGTGCCTCTAAGTCGACACTCTCGATCACTGTCCGGCAATCTCGGTCATCCTCTCCCCTCAACGACTTCGGACTATCTCTCATCTGCAAGCATCCAGGGTCTCTCCAGTCTTGCAGAGGCAGCTGCCGAGAGCTCCACCGCCTCGTCCTCCCGTTTAGCAAGTCATTCAATCTCCAAGTCAAGAAACACGGTAACCGGTTGTTACTCCCAACTCCCAGTCTTGGAGACGCTAGGCGACGCTGCTGATTTCACTCAATTCGACTCCACTTCTCTTCCTGCCAAACTATCTGCACCCGAGCACGACTTTACTCATTCTGCTGGTGAGCTACCGTCAAACGGTGGGAGTAGTAACATCGGACCAGCCCGTTTAAAAAAGCAACGTTCATCAAAGGGAAGGGAACGTGTACGCATCGAGCTAGCTCCAGACCAGCCGCCGACAACTCAAGGCAAGCCTCGCGAGCGCGTCTATGTTGCATGCCAACAATGGTGAGTTTTGATCTATTTTTATTTTTATTTTTATATATTTTTGTCATCGATTTGCACATCCTCATCGGTGCCTGAAACTTACTAACTCATTTGTTGCGATGCAGTCGAAGTCGCAAAATCCGCTGTGATGGCGCGAAACCCATGTGCCACAACTGCAAGCAACGGGGGACGGGTATATGCGAGTTTGACTCTATTCCCAAGAGAAGAGGTCCTGACCGTCAACCTGGGGCGCGTCAGCGGCATGGGAAAGTCCCAGCTCCTCGCACTCGTCGAAGGGCTCAGTCAGACAACAAGCAAGAATCCCCCCAGCCTACGCGCGGAACTCCGTACTCATCTGACCATCCCGAACGCGACGTGGGCGCTCCGCCATTGAATGACCAAAATGCCACGTGGGCTCATCTTCCTTCTCCGCCGTCGTCCGCGAGCCCCCATGCTAATCGACTCGCCTTCGAACATCTGGCCCCAGGATCATCGGGTTCAAGCGCGAGCGAAGCCCAATACGACTATAACAATATGAACATTCAACCGTTCGCGTATAATGCTCCCCCAAATAGTTATGTTGAGAGCTCTCTCGGGTCCGAATCTAACCAGCGAGTCCTTCTTCCTCGCATTTCCACGGGATCTCATATTCATGCTTCCACCGCATCGCTTTCCGACTCTTTTTCCCCAGACACCTGCACCCCAGTTTCTTATTCGGTGTTCAACAACCCCTTCGGCGGTGGTGAGGCAGTATCTCCGTACTCAACTGCACCAGTCGGTCTTGTTGCGCCGGACGAAAGTCGTGGAAGGTTGGATAGTGCTACAACTTTGGAAAGTTCCGCCTCGCCTGAGTCTATGGGCTTTGATGGTTACGGCTCTCAAGGAATTGAACTCGCACAGCCTGTAGTTGTCAATCAGAAACCAGCAGGTTATGTATTGTTTACGGACATCGACGCGCTCTCAAGCCAACAGCGAAGAAGCGCCGAATACATGGCAGCATCCGACCAATGTACGCTACCGTCAAGAAGAGATAGCTTTACGAATGTTGTATGTCGTTTGCCAGCTTTCCTTGCTCACACACCATGTATTTGTGCTGATTATTGTTGAGTCACCTGACTCGTATAATCCATACCAATGGGCCGTTTATCAGGGTCAGGACTCTAGCGCAGCTTACATGTCAACAATTGAAGATGAAGAAAATCCAGTAACTCTTGAGTTTAGTATCACGCAGACTCCGTCATTGGATTTTGTGCGTAAGACTTGGTGGGACTCCTTGCTCGATACATACTGTTCAGAAACATATTGTACACCTGCCATTGCTACTCGATATCAATCTGCATACGGGCTGTCAGTGACTATCCCGCGGGGAACGTATGCCTCTGGCTTGGCTCGTCAACAAGTTGCGCAAATTATTGTCCGAGATCTGCAGTCGCTGTTCAAGGATTCTATTTTCTGGTTCGCATTCGTCAATGTTCCGCTCTTCTTCGGGACCTTCTTTCGTGCAAGGGAGACCATGCAGCCGGCACTCATACTTGCGGTGCTTATGTTCTCGAACTATCTGCGGAGTAGTGCAGTCGAACTAGGGTCAGAAGGGATGATGCGGACAAATTGGTTGAGGGACAAAGCCCATGCAGCACTTGACGCGAGTGTCAATGCTTCCTGGATAGATCCTGGTCTTGCTCAAGCAGCATGGGTACGTAGAGTTACCCTAATGGTTCTGACCTTTGCTCAATCTTGACTTTGTGTCCGTTTTAGCTATTGGCGTTGTTCGAACTCTCTTCACAACCCATGCGCAGCGTCCCTCGCCTTCATTCAGCTATATCGACATTGGACAACATCATACGGTCACTAGCTCTTACGTTTATCGATTTCCAAGATCCCTCTGTGTCTGTGCCTACAGATTCCGCAGAGACGGGGTTCTGCAGTTCCATTACGTCGAACGGTCATGTGTCTCACATTTTGCCCCTGCCATTGTACAACAGGCGGCCTGTTGCAGGTTTGCGGATCAAGTCCGAAAACTCATCTCAGCTCCTGCAATATCATTCTTCTCCGAGCCCACGTACGGTGGTAGACGCCCTTAACCGCTCGTTATCGAACGCTCGATCTCCTTCCGAGCAGCCATCGTGCATCTGTAACGAGCTGAGCTTGGGTTATAATTGGTCCGAGGCGAAAGAGCACGTCCCCTTTTGGCTCAACTCGCCCGCTTGGAATCCGTCTTGGACAGATGCGGAAATCAGACGCGAAGAATGCCGAAGACTCTGTTGGAACACACTGCATTTATTCGCTGGTTATACGACGTATCGCACTTCGTTAGGATTGGCCACTCTCGATCTTTTCCTGCTCCACCCTTCAAATGTAAGTCTATTCTCAATTTATTTATATTTCTCCTATTTTAAGCGACGTTCCTGTTTTGTTCCGTTCCCAGGTCCATAACATTTTCCCCGGCGAGAACCTCGCTGATCTTTTGCCACCATCGTCCCGTGCCTTGAGGTTTGATACAGTGTGGGCTTTGTACGCACGTGCCATTTTGCTTTGGCATGCATGCCTACGCATTCGAAACGTGAGCGATCGCGAACGCGCAGTCTTCGCGCAGTCCGTTTGGCTTGAGGCAGACGCAATCGAGAACGCACTTGACGGTCATACATGTAACACTGAACGAGCCTTCCTATATCACGGCCGCGAATACCTCTTCAACGCACGCATGTATGTCTCCTCCGAGTTCCGCCGCTTTGTACCTCATCCAAGCCCGTACGTCTATTTCTCTCGTTCATAATTCGTTTGATGAGCTATGATATTGAGTACGTTCGGTGCAGTGAAATGTCCGGAGCTGTTCATCGAAGAAAGGCCGAAGAGTGGCGTACGTCATTAATTTCCTTTACTTCTACTTCTACAGAAGCACATTGTTGCTAACTCAATCAATTTCAATCCTATTATCTTTTATTGGTATTTTCCATTAATCCTTGGTCCACGGATTGAAAATCGGAAAGTCACACATCAAGCGACGATCGCCAAACGAAGCATGCAAGGCCTCCAAGCACTCACAGGCGTCCGTGGTACCGTGCTTGCAAGACGACCGTTCTTTTGTTTCTGGTTCATGGGCCATGTCTCGCGATGCCTCCAACTTTGGCAAGTGGACAAGACACTTACGGTTGCTCTTGAGCTTGCGAAACATTTCCTTGCGCCGATTAATTATCTTTCGGCGCTTTGGCCTTGTGACGGTGAGTAACTGTTGTTGTTTAGAATTAGGATAACAAGGAACATGAGACCATTCGTTGCATTTTCAGATCAACGGATGCAGTATGCTGGCATTCGAAGACAACTCGAAGACGCTTGTCGCGAGGCGGGCGTTGCACTCCCTCCTCCTATAGACCCTACCTTCCCGCTTCCACCTAGTTTGACAGGTCTACTCTAATTGCTTGGATACACCGTGCCTTTTTTTACTTTTCTTTTCAGAAATGGACCTGTTCTTTGACTCAATTCGGACTTATAACTGACTCTGACTTTGTTGTATCGTATCTTACATTTCGCATTTTTGCAACGGACCTTCGCCTTCGCTTTTCATTCCCTTCTCTCACCAGCCCCCATCATTTCGTTCCAGCAATAACCGCTCATAACACTTCCTGCATTCTTCGTCTGTTGCGCATTTTTTCGGATCAATTATTATCACGTCTCGAGTTGTTCTTAACTGTTTCTTGCTTCTTCTGTGCTATTCGGACTTCCCAAATAATCTCATAACTTCTTTCTTCCCTTCTTGTCTCGTCCTTTTTTCTCTTCGGTTGCTACGGACAATCGAAGGACTGTCCTTGATGGACCATTTTTATGGAGCAAATTAAGTACAAATGTCTTCTTACCCCTTTTCTTTTGCTTTTCGTTCTACTTGATGGAATTTACTTTGTCGGATTGGAAATAAACAACGACTACATGCCCTCTGTGTTCTTGTAGTTGATACTATGATAGGTTTCAATGTAGCACGTATACTTCTTTACTTTTTTTTCAAAGTCCTTCGTCACGAAATGGCCTTTAGTTTCCTTCTGTTACAACATGGTGTATAGAATTCATTTTTTTAAATATATGCGGCACTTCCCGCGCTTCGGGATGTCGGGATACATGAAGTCATCTAGCTTACGTTGGCCGTTCTCGCTGAAGGGGCATTAATCCCGAAACGTAACTACATAGTTCTAAATAACAGTGAAATAGTTTAGAGGACTGTATTGCTCTTGGTATCTATAGTTACCCTAATATTCTGATTAGCTTCTCTAGCTTTAACGCAATATGTCCCAAGCATAGTCAGTCTTCCCCGCGATCTCCTCAAGCCCGACCCTCGACCCTGCTTCGTCGAACACAATATTATATCGTGTTACTGTTAAGGATTAGTTACTAGGACAAGCTATACAATTTTCTACGACTTACTCCAGACGTGTCCTAAAATAATAATTGGCATCCTCGTTTGTTGCTCTGTTACCCTTGACCTCTGAACAGTGAGATACAATGCATCTTTCTTCGCTTTACCGAGATGATTCTCGACCACGTTGGACGGCATAATCAGTGCTTCTTTCGACATAGTGAGATCAGCTTCATTGAATTTGAGAGTCATGCTTGTCAGATATTTGAACTTGTCAGTCTGTATATAGCTCTGCTCTAATGAACGATCATAATGGATTATTTTTGTGGCTTTTATACCTGTACTAATGTAATCATCTAGTATGGACTTTGGAAGATATATCCAAGTGGCTCCTGTGTCTATTATTGCCATGCATTGTTCAGAAACTACCTCTGAGTTTTGAGATAAGTAAGAGACTTTAGCAGGCAGAGCTAGCATTTTGCCAAATCCAGTCTCGATTCTCTCTGCTCTGAACCATTTCATATTGTGACTCTGTCTAAATCCTCCAATAAAAACTTGACCCATTGCAGAAATATCTCTGGAGTGAACATGTTGGTAAGCTTGTTCAGGCATTCTGAGGTCAAGACTGAATATATTTGCAAGATGCATCTCCTTTTGTAGTAGCAAATAAGACACTGATGCCACCTTTGCATTATTGCCAAGAATATCTGTGCTTGGCTTGAAGCCAAGTACACCTAATACTCCAGACCTTCTCAACGAGCGAACTGCCTTCTGCTCTGTTTCATCAACAACCGCATATATCAATTTCTCGAGTGCAGTGCCTTCAGAACCAAACGAGATTGAGTTTTCATATAGGTCCCCTATTATACTACCTTCCAGCCCTAAATACCGGATCCTGTATTTTATTCCGAGTCTTTTGCCTTTATCAGTAGTCTGCTTATCATAAAGTTTCTTGTTGATCCAAGTACATCCGGATCCTACGTCAAACACGAGTGCACAGGGCTGCTGTGAATCTCCAAAATAAACGTTGACTTTTGTATGAATAAAATCCCCATGTGTGGCAATAGTAATTGGTTGTGTAGAAGTTGTATTTGATTCACTTGTACTAGAGTATCTTGTAGTTTCATATCTCTGCATATATGATGTGAATAGAGTATGTGAAGTGTATTAGTACTTCTGACTTGAGTATATTGTATAAATCACAGATGTTCCGAATAATAGTTAACTATTGGCCAAGAATACTCACAAAGAGAGAGAAAGAGAGTACATAGTGAATATAGCAATATATAAGAAGCAATAGTTTGCGAATAAATAAATGCATTCTTGTAAGACTAATCAGCAAATTACTCTAGATGAATTTGCTATCTCGATTTCTCCGCTCTACATCCAAGGGACCAGTGATACCCATGCGTTCACTTTGAGTCGTCTCAATTAAAATCATTGTCTTTAAGTCAGTAATGTACAGTTTTTATACTCAGTCTTCACCTGTCTGATCGACAGTGCTCAAATTGACTAAGAATAGAGCTACACATTTGTATGAGACTTCCTTAGTTGTAGCAATACTCGAGGGCCAGTCTCTGCCACTTCTGGGACTTGATATGTTGTGGTGTATACTCGTGCAAAATTATTGTATTTGTTATGGATATTACAGCAATTGTAATATGCAGACTGTGCATTCGAGTCCTTCTGTCCGAGCTTTGACAAAGCAATATAAAAAAATTCGCCACAACTGCACTTACAGTTGATCACTGTGTTCTTGTTCATAACTGCTCTTGTCCTCAATGCTCTTGTCCATTAAAAGTATATAAGCAGCCAGGTTTGTTGCTCACCCTCAGTCCAACAAACTACATTTTACACATTGTCAGTTTGGTGAAATGAAATGCTCAGTCTGAATACTTGTGCATCTCTGGCTTACTTTTTTTGATAGTAGAGTAGTAGAACAGAAGGGCTTTTAGAGAGTCAATAGCTTGTACTTTCTGCTGAGCAGTCTTATCTGCAAACCAGTCAGTCACTACTATTGATTCTTCAAGGTCCTCTGTTTGTCTACTTTACTCAAATAAAGCAGTTGTCAGTTTTGCAAAGATATTTGAGTAAAGCTTCCAGGGTGCTGTTTATTTCTCCAGGAATTCTGCAGCAAGCAGCTCATACAACTTCCAGGTTTTTATCTACCTTAGTTGAATTGAGCATCCATAGAATACAGTACTGTTTATGGCTCACTTAATGTGCTGTGTTTTGATAACTATAACTCTGTGTCCTATATGTTTGCTACAGTCATAGCAGAGTCCAAGGCACGAGATTGGTCATTTCTACTACACTACTCTGGCCGGATGTGTTTTAATTGCAAGCCACATTGTACTGTTCAATGGCCTCATCAAGGTCTTCGACTCTGCTATATGCTGTGAAGCAGTACATATGTACATAGAGACTCTTGGTTTAGGATTGTATTGTACGTTTGTATGCATTCGTTATTTATAAGTAGGCAGTCTTTGATTTAACTTGAATGCAGGTATTATAGATGAGTAAGTTGAAACTAGTAGCTCTATTAGCTATGTATTTTCTGAACGGATGTAGAAGGGTCAAAGGCACATGAGTTCTATTTACAGTGCTCTAAATAGCTTGCTGGCTTAGCCTCAAGCCGCACTGCCACAGTACACTGTTCGATAGCCTCATTGAGGTCTTTGACCCATCTTTATGTCCTGATTGTAGTAGGGCCAAAGAAATTCTTGAGAGTCGATAGTTATCTTTTTTTTCTGTTTATCAGTCCTATCTGCACAATTTGCACAGGTTTTATGAGCAAAGCTTCTAGGACAGTACTTAATACCCCAAGAATTCTGCAGAGAGATGCTCATACAACTTCTGGGTTTCCCAGCAATACATGTCTGAGAGAAGATGATCGTTAGTGTGGAAGTACGCTTGCCACTCTCGTACATGTGCTGCCGAATTTGACACCTCCTCTCATTCATACTTCGACTTTGCATTGCTGGCTGCTCTTGGATGTATAAATCAATTCTCTCTGAGTATCTCATAACGAGGCTTCCTTCCTCCCCTTCACTTTTACCTCGATGTTCTGCCGACTCTACCTTTCCACCATCACGAAAAAGTTGCAACAAATGTATTTAATAATAGCAAAAGTAATCTAATAAAATGATTTCATAAGCATTACATTCTAAAATAATACTTGTATTTTACTTGTAATGTAATTATAATGATTGTATATAAATGTAAGAAATATAGAAAGTTTCTATTAAACTAAAAACATGTTTTAGAGCAAGTAAACTTACTAATAGTATTATTACAACATTACATGTGAGATACAAGCACTTAACTCCTATTATAATATGCTAAAATTATATTATAAGTTATTTGTAACAATAGTTGATTGATTATAATAGTCATAAAAGTAATACATTGCACTTGTAAGTTAATTACAATACTTTTAGTAAGATAATATATGACTATATATATTAATATTGTTAACAATCACCCTGTTAGGCTTATAATATAATTTAGTTTTATTTTAAAACTATATATTGAAGTGATTACATAATTGAGTACTGAAGATTGAGAGCATATAATGATGCACTTGCTCTTGTCACTCCTTTCCCTCCTACCTCCACCATCTCCCCAATCCTCTTCCCCCAACACTATGTTGTTGCTCTTGTTCTCTCTAGCCCAGTCCTCTGCCTACAAGTGTCCCACTAGCAGGCACTCTGCCTGCTTCAACATAGGCAATAAACATCACCATACTTGTCTCTCCAATCTGCTGCTACAATGCCTGTGCTGAGCCTCAGATCCTGCAATGATGCCACTGAGCTGACTACACTGTCCTTCATTGTAAAGTGTAAGCAGCCAGTCCACTTCATAATAACTCACACAATGGTTGCTCATCCCTCTCCTCCCAACTTTTTGTCTCCCTTCCACCCCTCCTGCTCCTTGCTCCACCACTTGTGTTGCCTCTCCTTCATTGTCCTCCTTTGTTTACACTCACCTTCCTTTTTGCATTTGCATTCACACATCTGCATTGTTGACCAATGCCAAACAACTTCTTCAATGTTTCCATACATTTGTGTACTTCCTGCTCTGTAGTGCAAGCAACAGTCAACAAGTGCATGCTTGCAACAATACCAACATACAACCACTCCCATGGTACGACCCTCTCTTTGATACTGTACACACTCTCCTTCCCTACCCATTCTATACTTAACATCACTCTCTACAGGTCCACCCCACATACATTCACATTCCCTAGTGTAGCAGACAACACTATATTGAACAGAAGTAGTGGACTGCCACTTACCCCTCTTGAGCTGAGTCTGTCCATATGTTCCACTTTGCCTTCTCTGTTTGAGCCAGTACGTCCCAGAGATACACCTTTGCAATCCACAAAAATGACTCAGTTCACTGCTCCCCCAATTGCATGTCACAGTCAGAATATGTAGCATATGTGTACTGATACAGCTTTGTCTACAGCCTGAATCAACTCGTTCAACACTCTGGATCTCAACCTGTATGCACTACTCACACTCACTGTACTGTTACAGTATGTCCACCTTTTATCTCCTATTGTCACTTGCTAACTACTCTAAACCTGTCTAACAGGTGCAGCCTCAACCTCCACAACCTGCTTGACCTCAACACACAATTTGACTCACAGGTCCTGAGTGACAACCAAACGTGGTGACAAAGACTACATCAAACAGCCTGAGGATGTGTTCATCCTTTTCCAACACGAATCCCACTCACAGAATAATGAGGCAGAGGCAGCTGGTGGTGTAGAGGTTGGGACCATAGAAATAGTGTATTATTTCCTATTTTTGTATTCTATAATTTAAATATAATTATATTTGATTAATTATTTGATATAAATTGTATAGTAAGCAAAAGAATTTAAGAAAGCTATTCAAACACTTGTAATGACTTGTAAGCATTATAAGCAGATATTATACTGTCACAAATTAATAAGTATGTCTTAACCTTGTAATTTAGGCAGTATATTATAATCACTTGTATAACTTGACAATTTATAAAATTATATTGGAAATTGCCAAGTTTTAAAAGTATTTTTTCTTGCTTATTTAACATTGTACTTTCCTTGCTTAACCCCCCAGGAAGATTATAAGTAATTGGACAAATTTTATAAAATATATAAAATATACAAGATTACAAGCAAGTATAATACTTAAGACTTTTTCGTGATGACTGTTCCAACAAATCTCAGA